ATCCCACCCAGTTAAAAGTTCATGATCTTGCCCCCAGACCCACAGTCCATCACATGATCCAATCTTCTTCCACGCAGGCGTCTACGCCTAACTGCTTCCGGTCAGGTATAAAGGTTTGGGAGACAAAAGATGACCTTGAGCTTCTAGGAAGGAATTTTGTATTTTGAAAACAACACATTCTACCCTTTGCTAAATCCCCCCCCCCCTTAATAAGAGTGTGGCAGGCCAAAGATTCTTAAAGGAACCGCTGCAGGCCTGACAACGATAAATTTTAAAGATGCAAGCAACATGGTTATAGTCATAAGTGGAAAGAGATAGGCACTAGGAAGGAAGAGAAGAATAATACGTAATTTGCATCACATCAAAATACCAGGGCTTGGGCCGACGAGCACAATTCAAAGCTCACTGATAAGATCTCCTCGAATGGTGACAAAAACGTTTGCCACCCAGTTGCAAATTGCTCGGAGCCAAGACCAACAGCCCAACTACCAACCTGAACTACTTATTTTCAAATACATTTCAACCCCTTACATATTTATTCAGTTCTGTGGCCATCCGAATCCACAGGGACTCTGAACGGCTCTCTGTTTACAAAACTAAATAAATAAATTAAATTAAAAAGAAGACCAGGACAGAAGGAAGCGGCTCTCTGATATCCAATGATGAAATATTGAAATGTTGATTTCCAGTCCTTGCTTCTCCCTAACCAATCCTGATTTGCCAGGCTATTCTAAGATAGTCCCAAGGCATCACCTGAGTCAGAGAGCAAAGGTATGATGCAGTGGTACAATTCAGGCGGTTCTATCTGGTTTGGGTGAACCAGTAGCGGTGACGGCAAGAGGCTCCGCCCACCCACCCGGACGTCATCACATCCCGTTTTTAAAGCTGTGCGCATGCGTGTAGTTGGCGCGTGCACTCACATTTGTGAACCGGTAGCGAAGGTAAGTTGATTTCACCCCTGGTATGATGGCAAAAATCCTGTGGACTAGGGAAATGTTCTTTTCCTTCTTCTTCTTTTTAATTTCTCCAGCAGGCCAATCATTAGAACAAATTTTCGAGCGGACTTACCGTCAAGTTCTGATTTTTGAATTGCGCCCTAGTTTCCTAACTGACCCATCCAATATATTTTGTCGGGACGGATGGTTTCCAAATTCTAATTTCTTCCTTTGCCAAATTTGCAGGGCTGGTTTCAGTCCCCACCCACGAAGCGGTCTGGGATTTAAAGCCACCACAAATAAGAAATCCCTTGACCCCCTTCACCACAGTTCCTGAAAAGCCAGTTTTGAGTTGTGTGGGATCCCTTCCCAGAGACCTTAGTCTTGCCCCAAATAATCACAATCCTTTGGGCAACGGGTTAAAACTTTGCTAATCTCCCGGGCCTTTGATGTCAAGGCATAAAGATCTTGCTTATTAAATTCACTGCTGCTGCTTGTCTGCTGTTATTATTGGCTTAGCCTTTTATGTGATATTTTAGGCTTGTTTTAACTGTGCTGTTAGCTGCTCAAACACCCAGTCTGGCGATAAGGCGAGGCATCTCTGGTTTTTAAAACAGAGCAAATGTTGTTTGGATGTGATCAGGGGAGAGATAGAGAGAGAAAAAGCTTTGGTACAAGCAATTAAAAATTAATTGAGGTTTGTTTATGCTGGTTTTCCTCCCCTGCTACTTCCCCCCAAAAAGCGCTTTATGGTAATAAAAATCAATGGGACGTATAGACGACAACTCTATTTGTAGGCTGATAAAACAAGACCGATACAAGAATTTGTTTCAGGCATGACAAATCTGCTTTTTGGCTTGCTGAGTTATGGGAAATAATTCTTAACCGGTCTCCCCATCGTTCTTTTAAATCAATTGACTGTGAAAGAGTCTTGTTGCGATGAAAACGTGAGACCAAAAGTTGATTAAAAACGGAGGGAACCAAGTTAAGGTTTGGAATCTCCTTGCTGAAAATTATTTCTGACTTTCGGTCTCTTAAAGTTCTAACCCTTCGCGATGATGATGATGATGATGATGATTATCATCATCATCATCATCGCTGGAGCTGTAGTTTGCAGTCTTAATTCAAGCAGGCTTTTGGTTCAAGTATTGGGTGTTACGGTTTTGTGGGTGTCCAGTTAGAATAACAGTGTTGGAAGGGGCCTTGGAGGTCTTCTAGTCCAACCCCCTGCTTAAGCAGGAAACCCTACACCACTTCAGACAAATGGTTATCCAACATCTTCTTTAAAACTTCCAGTGTTGGAGCATTCCCAACTTCTGGAGGCAAGTTGTTCCACTGGTTAATTGTNTTTTTTTTAAAGAACAGCTGGCACATTTGCTTCATTTGCTTTGCTCAAAACTATTTTGGGGAGTTGGATAAAGCAAAGCCAGAAAAAACAACACGAGTGGAAAGTTTTACTTCGAACTGAGCCACGCTTCCTCCATCTGTACACCATTTCGAATGTACACATATTTAACACTTGTGGAAGACACACAGTGGTGCTATATGTGTGTGTCTGTGTGTGGATGGTATTTTGCCCTTCCCGATGGTTTGCGTTCTTTATCATCTTTGCAGGAGACAATTTTTACTCCTGTCCCGTTATACAAAAACATGGATTTCCTCATCTCCCCTCCCTCCCCAAAATCTTCTAAGTGTTTCTGGGCTTATCTTGAGGAGGAGAGATTTAGGAATGTGCAGCTCAGAGTAGTAGCTGATATTGGATCCATCTTCACTTGGCAACAGAGAGACTCATTGTTCTGTGCCCCCCCCCCCCTTTGCAAATGCTTGCAGCTTTAATTGCAAAAACATTTGCTAATTCCATTCATGAATGAGTTAGGGCTTGCTTGGGGTTTAGGCTAAAAATAAAGGGCCAGATAGGGCAGCTTGGGGTGGGTTTTGTTCTAGGGGAATTTTCAGCTAACATACATACTTTCTATCTCAGAGGGTAGATGCCCCTGGGTAAAATATAACAAATAGATGAGATTAGCGTCGTGGTTTGGAATTTGCCGATTCTTATTGAGAAAATGAGTGCATTAAGGAAATAGCACAGACTTCCTGATGGTCACTTCCAGGGACCACACATATTTCCTTGCAAAATATACAGAGAACTGTATGAGTGGCTGATCACAATCTCACACAGCTTCCTTACTAACATGATCTTTTGGGCAGAATGGGAGATAAATTTTATTTATTTACTTACATAGTTGGGCTGAGCTATGAGCAGTTTTGCAATTTGGTGGCAAACATTTCGTCACCATTCGAGGAGATGTCGTCCGTGCGCTTCAAATTGTTCTCCGTCTGTCAGAGCGCTGATCTTTCAATACCTTTAGTACCAAATTAGTGTGGATGTAATAGAACAGAACAGAACAGAATAGAATAGAATTCTTTATTGACCGAGTATGATTGGACACACAAGAAATTTGTCTTTGGTGCATAAGTTCTCAGTCTACATAAAGAAAATTAAAATAGAATACTTTCATCAAGAATCATAAGATACAACATTTAGTGATAAGTCATAGGTTACTAATAAACAATCAAATTATACTAACAAACAAATAGAACACTATTGTTAGCTTTCCAAATACCATGTAAAATTAAATCAGAGTCGAAGCCAAAACTATGCTTAAAGTTCCAATTTAATAAAGCAGGC